CATTCACCACCTAATTATGTACCAGAGGGAATCCCCCCATACTTTGAGATACCAAGAGGGGCATTTCAACCATCCATTGCAGACACTTGGAAGTGCGATGGTCATCCCATAGTGCTCAGAACTCATCCTTCCACCAGTGCCATTGCAGCTGAAGGTGATGCAGATGTTCCCTCGAACAATGAACTGCCAGTGAGAAGTTCCTGCAGTGATGGAGCCTAGATCCAGTGTTACTTACTTACGTACCTTTAATGTGACTTGCTACTTTAAGGCATCACTTGTGAGACAGCTTGTCTTGTCTCTTCTTGGCTGTGAAGTGTAAATATGAAATCCCTTTCTGTAGAAAACATGTCTCAGTAGAATAAGCAAAAACCTTTTGTGTATATATATATATTACTGTAACCTGATGGAGTCCTTCATCGTAAACATAAATCATACAGCTCCTGGAGTTTCATGGGTTTCTCATCTCATGTGTCAGTTATCATTATGTCTTTCTCTTTTTTTCTGTTCGTTCATTTGCTAGAGATGTGGAACAACCAGCCTTGAGCTATGAACTTAAAATGAATGCATTATTTAATGCTGAAATGGAGTAAACTGTGTTAATAATATCAGCTAAGGAAAAGTTTCTTGAAAGTCTATGTATTTATCATCACCAAAGACTGCAGGGTGTTTAGATATGACAAAACAGTTGCAGGGAATCAACTTAATAACTAGAAAGCTTTTTAGTGTGCACACTGTCTTTATGATTATTGAAAACTTGGTCTGCGAATGCTCAAAGAATATTATAAAACGTATATTCCCAATTCTTTGTTTCATGAATACCAAGGTCATTTGTTAGTATTATGATTACTTGCATCCAGATGAAATAATTTGCATTTTAATATTTGAATCAACATCACCAGCGGTCTTTTTATTACACTGAATGCTTGGCAAGGGTATAGTTGTTAACAGATGCAGGCATGTGAATGATTAGCTAGGCCATCAGATCCTTTTCTAGAAGACTTTTGATGCTTTCTGCCAAGTCATCATAGGTCAGTCCATTGAGGAGATGGAAGTGAAGGAACAGAAGTTTCTTCCAGGAAGAAGTAGGAGATTTAAAGAAGGAATGACTTGGATTGTTAAAGAAGGGTAGGTTTCTTTCAAGAAGAAACAGAAGACTGGGACAAGTAAGATAAATGTGTGAAGTTGATATTAGTGATAGCCATTCTTATTCCCTGTGCTGAATGGCCGTGTATTTTCGTATGTAATGCCAGATAGCGTCATATAGCATATCATTATTGTAACCTCCATATTCCTTTCCCATCGGCAGTTGGTAGCATCAACGGCACTTTTCCTCTTCGGTTATTTGAGTCGGGTATTTTTTAAGAGTTAAATGAACTCTTTTAACTCCAAAGTGGTTGTCTATTTTTCAGTGCAGAAATCTGTAATGGAGTGTATGATGTACTTGAGTCATTTATTGTTAGTTTATCTTAAGTATTATTTCTTCTACTTGAAACTATGTATGATACCAAGTGTGATATATCTGATGTGCTCATGAGTGATATTAAAGATAAGGAGAGACACCACACCCCCTTTTTGTCCACAGAAGTCCAATAGGCAGATACATTATTTTTTAATGAGGAAAGAATTACCATGTTAGTAAAAGGCTTTTGTAATTTTGAAGGTCCTGACATCATGTACATGGATTGCTTAGTCATTCTCATTTTCAACAATTCAATTAAAGATGGATTATAGTGTATAGCTTGACAGGTTTTTTGACTAGTTTCCTTTTTGTTTTTCTTTTCCATTTCTCTGTTTTTCTCCTCATTTATTTCCTTCGATAGGAAAAGATTAATCAGGTTTCTTTTTGTAATATTTTTTTTTTCTTTTTTTTTTTAAGTTTATACACCCCTCATTCCTTACTAAACTTGTACTGCATCTGTTGTTGATTTTAGTATATCTTATTCCAGTTCATTCAAATTCAGGGAAGCTTTAACAGCTCCTTTGTCCAGCTATTCCTAACCATGGTATTGCAAGGTGAAGCTAAGATGTACGTCAACTGAATTTAAATACTGAGATTGCGAAGATGTATACAGACACCAAGAACAATGATTTAAAAAAGCCAATATAATGAAGTTCAAAAGTCTGGTGTTATAAAGTGTTGATGCCCATTTAATACATATTGTGTGTGTGTGTGTTCCTTTGGTACAAAAATCAGCTGTTTTGGAAAGCTGTCTCAAAGGAGAAACATTATTCCATAAGAACAGTGTGTTGACGAGGAACCCGTGCTTGCAGGTCAGTTACTTGGATTGGAAATAAGTCCGCTGGTTGTGAATGGAGCCTGTGACGCCCTGCCTGTTAATGATGGAACATTAAAAACTGTAGTATACAAAACTGAAGAAATGTGTGATATATCCTCCCCCTTTCCCTTCCATGGGGAGTATTTTTGTACAAAATCGAAGTGATATTTGTAGAAATCTGTATATATGGCTTATTTGGCATCAAGTAAATATGAATTCACTTACACTTTGCTTTATTTTCTCCTGGAAACCAGGAAATTTTGAGGTATTGGTGTGTTCTGTGGAGAATTTAAGTATTAGGAACTTAATCACTTGAGATAATTATTTTGTCTGTTTTTGGTGTTGATGAATTTGAGTGGATTTGTGTCTGGGTGCGGGTGTGTTTGGTTGGGTGTAAGTGAAGGTGTGTTTGAGTATGTGTGAGTGAGGGTGTGTGATTGCATGTGCATACAAAAGCAGGGTATATGTAAGGAAGTGAGTGTTTTTTGTGCTGTTTTCTGGTTTGAATATTTTTTTGTCTGTAAAGTTTGTATTTTATGTAATAGAATACAGTACACAAATTTATATAATATAAGGACAAGGACACTTGTCATGTATGTAGGACTTTACATTGATGTTATGGATGGAAGTATCAATATCTACTTTTTCATCTTTATGAAAGTGATGCATGGACACACATGCACCCACTTCCTCACACATGCACGCATGTGCACTTGCAACAATAAGGCTGACAATAATGATAGTACCGAGTCCATAATGACATAAATACTATAATGATGCTGGTGATGATGACACCAAAATGATGATAATGCAATAATTAAAATTATAATTACATTTATAAGACACAATAATAATTGAAATATTGATCATGAAAAATATGCGTTTGAATACTTTATTTCAATTGAAAACCTGATGAAAACAAGACTACTAAAAAAAAAAAAATCATTTTCTCTATCCCTTCTTACCCATGTGATATTTTGATTATTATCAACATCTAATTATGAAAAAGAAGGACACTATATTCATTGGTTTTATTTACTAAAAAGTACAGGCTAAAAGTCAAACGTACATCCACAATCTATACAAAGATCGATATACAAAGGCCAAGAAAAAAACAGTCTTTAGACGATACTCGTGAAATCGGTGGATCATGACTCAGCTATGAGTAAGGAGTTCATGGGTGATGAGTGATGAGTTAAACGAGAATATAGACCTGTTGATAATGAAGTCGTTTCTTAAGTGAGTACGAGGTATTCAGGAATAGTGATGAGTAATCTGTTGAAAAGTAGTTCTCAAATGTCTTACGTGAATGATGGATCAGTCGTTAACCGTTTTCCGGTGTCTGTGATGAGTGATCTATTGATAAGCTTCTCAGGAACGGAGGATGTGTCAGCTGTTGCCTACGGATATCTAGTTCGATCGTGATGAGTCATGCTGATAATGAGGTTATTGGCATGAGTAACTGCTGAATAAGAACCATCAGGTCATGAGTCAATTGTTGATAATGAGGTCTCATATGTGACTGATGAGGATAAGTAAACTGTTCATAACTGCCCCATGTGTGAGCGAGCAGTCAGCTGTTGAGAAGACTGAGTGATTCCTCAGGCGTGAGTGTGGCGGCAGCTGTCGAGTAGGATCCTAAGGTGAGTGCAGAGGAGAGTGACAAGCCAGCTGTGGGGATGTCTCAGGTGTGAGTGAAAGGTTCGGCCGAGTTCCTTGCGATGGCGCGGCGAGGCAGCCTGGGCGCGTGAGGAACCTGCTTGTTTCTGTGTACCTTGACGCTGGCGCTTCTACGTGCACTGCGCTGTTTGGCTTCCTTGTCCCTGGCGAAGGTCCCTCTCTCATCCCTGTCACAGATGCAGATGGAAGCTCTCTTCTCTTCGCCGGGGCTCTCTAAAGGCGTGGTGGCAGGGGAGTCCGGGTTGGCTTTGCCCTTCTTGAAGCTCCGGGCAAGCGCTCCCAGTCCCGACATGGCACGTCGGAAAGACCCGCGGTTCTCGGACAGACGCTGGAACTTGATTTCGCTGTGCTCCACCTTGGGCCCGGCGAAGGACACGGAGCGACGCACGAAGGCCGCCGGCATCTTGGGCAAGCGCAGGGAGCCAACGCGCGAGGGCAGACTGGGAGTCAGGGAAATCCTTGGCGTCGAGGGTCTTTCCGCCTTGTCTTCCTTCGTGGACGGGGAAGTGCAGGACCGGGCGCCAGCGCCGTTCTCCTCCTGCGGGCTCGAAAGGTCGTCCCTCCGTGGAGACTCGATTTTGGGAGGCTCCTCGAAGAGCCCTGGACCCGTGTGCATAGTGAGTGCGGCCTTGGAAAACATGGGTGGGATGGGCTCCCTCATTTTGCCGTACTCGACGGGGTTCATTCGGCGACTCACCGAGTCTATGACTCTCCTGCTCGCTCGGCGTCCGCGCTGGGAATAAGATCGCACGAGGCGGCCTTGGTAGTGCTCTGGTGGCTGCTCGAGACGCGGCTCCATCAGGTTGGCGGTGCTGCCGTGGTGGTCCTTCAAGAGCATTCCTGGCTGGTTGTTCTCGGAGTCAGGGCCGTCTTCAGCAGGGCTGGTCCCACGCCTGTCGTCGATCGAGGAGGTGTCGGTAGTGGGGGTGTGAGACACGTCTTCACCCAAGTGCTCGACAGAATCAAAAGTTATCCAGTGGCGGCGCCGGCTGGGACTAACGTCCTGGAGGGAAGGGGAGGCGCTCTGCCTGCCGCCCGAACACTCCCTGTCCTCGGCCAAGCCCAGGCGGTCGTAAACTCTAGAGCTGCTCGAAATATCTCCTTGAGTCGGAGATGAGCTGCGCATCTCCCCCGACCCCCGCGAACCAGGTGGAGTTAGCCGGGGCGATGAGGCGAGAGACGCACTACGCTCTGTGCCCTGGGCCTCGGCCTCGTGGGGGTCGTCCAGGTTCATTTGGTTCAAGAAGATCTGGGAATAGGATCGGAGTGACTGCAGCATCCCCTCGTGTGCCAAGTCGTTGAAGCAGCGGCGTTTGTCAGAGAACATGAAGTCCTCACAAATGAAGCTGTCCGTGGAAGACCACAGGTGGCGGTCCGCGATGTAGGAGGACATGAACGTCGCCGTCTCGCCCGGAGAGTTGCACGCGGAGTGCGGCGCCACGTTGGTGGTAGAATACGAGCACTGCTGCCTCTCCAGGAGAGAATTATTGGCTATTATGCTATCAACTTTCTCCGTGATTTCTTTCAAATCAAAAACGTCAGACGAGCCAGCCTGTTCCCTGGCGCCGTGCGAAGGCCCTTGGAGGTCCAGAGACGAGGGCCTGTCCTTACCCCGCGCGCACTCATCGACGCTCTTAATAACAAACGACGGACGGAGGGACAGCTTACTTTTGGTTCGGCGGGCGCTGTTGTGCTTCTTGTTGGCCTCCACATTCACGTCCTCCCAACCAGGAGGCCGCTCCTGCGCTTTGCCCGACAGCCTGCGCTTACTCCTGCCCTTCAGGGAGGCCCACCTGACGTCAAACGAGCCTGGCGAGCCCGGCGTCTGCTCCCGGTGTGTCTGGCCGCTGTCCCTTGGCAACCCGCTAACCTCCGTCGGCTGTCTGGGTTTCCAGGGCGTCTCCTCCAGCCAGTAGGGAAGCAGGCCCTCCCCTCGGGCCTCGCGCGGGTTGCCGGACTGGCCCACCAGCCGGAAGGACTTCCTGGTGGGGACGTCGTTGCGACAGACGCCCCTCAGGTTGTCGACGCTGACTCCTGAAGATGAAGTGTGACCTATGAGAACAGGACTCGCCCCCCTGCGGACGCTGCGCTGGGCGGGAGCTCCGTCTGCCGCCCGCTTCTTGCAGTCTTTCTCCTTGCGGTCTGGAAAGGTTGCGGACGGGAAGGTCAGGAGCTCTTAAGGTGCAAAATCAGTTATTTTTTCTTATAATTCAGAGAGAGAAAAAATACATAAAAAAGGACAGAGAAAAGAAGAGGAAGAAACATAAATAGGTAGAATACGTGTATATATGTATAAATGTATATATTTAAAATTATACACACACACACACACACACACACACACACACACACGCGCGCGCGCGCGCGCGCGCGCGCACGCACACACATACATACATAGATACAGTATACACACACGCACGTACGCACACGCACGCACATGCAAGCATGCACAAGCAAGCAAGCACGCACACACACACGCACGTACGCACATGCACGCACGCACATGCAAGCACGCACGCACACATATATATACACACTGTATATATATATATATATATATATATATATATATATATATATTCATATATATATATATATATATATATATATATATATTCATATATATATATATATATATATATATATATATATATATATTCATATATATATATGTATATATATGTGTGTGTGTGTGTGTGTGTGTGTGTGTGTGTGTGTGTGTGTGTGTGTGTGTGTGTGTGTGTGTGTGTGTGTGTGTGTGTGTGTGTGCGTGTGTGTGTGTGTGTGTGTGTGTGTGCGCGTCGTGTGTGTGTGTATTGCATATATACTATATCTATCTATCTATTTATCTATCTACCTATCTATATGTATTCTACCACTAATAATACTTAATACTGGCTTCCTGGTCTGACAGCGCAAGTTATGTAAAGCTCTTTGTGACTTTAACGTCCTCACCGCAAGCATATTTCGACTGAACAGATTCCCCTAACAGGCCCCTAAAATCCTAGATCTTGATTTTAGTCCAGGAGACCACTAGGCCCAAGGGCTTCGCCTCATTGCTGAATACTTCAGGAGCCGCCACCAGAAATACAAGAGACTTACATAGGTTAGCAACATTGTCGGCATAGTCGAGGTGACCTTGATATTGGCTAATGTTGCTCCACACTGACTTTGGATGGTAGCTCTGTCCATTATCCAGTCCATGCAAATGTTGAAAAGTGTTGGTGCAAGAACACAGCCTTACCTCACTCTTGAGTTAACGCGGAAGCTCGACAGGCCCCCACCACATTTTACAGCGCTACCAGTACCAATATACAGGCTTGCTATTAAACCAATAATCCGTGTCGGAATTCCCCTAAGCCTCAGGATCTCCCATAGCTATTCGCGATGCACCTAGTCAAACGCCGTTTTGAGGTCGACGTAGGCTGCAAGCAGTCCACGACCGAACCCATAAAGGCGTTCCACAATAACTCAAAGCGCTAAGATGCGATCTATTGTGGACTTGCCAGGAGTTAATCCAGACTGCTCCGGTCTCTGGTGTCTT